AGAACTGCCTCACGTGTGCCCCACAAACAGGGTGGAGCTGCCCTGGTTCTCACTACAAGTTCACCTTTGGGCGCCATGCCAAGTGGCCTATCGGGAAGGCAGTAAAAATAGTGACAATTCTCACAATCATTAACAGATTCCTCTGTCAGCAGAAGCCAGAAATCTCTTAATCCAGTGGCCCTGCCCCGCCCTCGCCACACACAGCGTGCTGTTAATGCTGGAATATTGCATCCACACGAAATCAAAGTCAACATCTTAACAGCAGGCAGAGCCCACGTCCCCCAGCATGGATGTGTCCCTTGCTCTCACAGCAAGAAATCCCACGATGGTGCATACACCACCTCTCAGCCCCCTCCTCTCCATGGAGCAGAAAGCTAAGAAGATGCGAGAACTAGGTTTGACACACTTCATACTCACTCAGACTCCCCTGAAGTTGCTGCCTCTCCAAGACCTAAAGAGGTTAGTTCATTGGCACAAGGTAGACAGAGCACGCACAACCGCTGACAATGCCATCCCGCTCCTGGTACCCTGTACCCTACTCTCAACCAGGACCAAGTTTAAAAGGGGAACCCCTGGAAGCAACTGAGATGTTGTTCAGTAGGCGAGAGGATAAACCGTGGTCCATCCAAAAAATGATATACATTCAGCCCTAAAAAGAAATGACCTATCAAGCCATGAATAGACGTGGAGGAAACTTCAATGCATGGTAAGTGAAAGAGGCCTGTTTGAAAAGGCTTCACGCTGTATGATTCCAACTATGTAATATTCTGGAAACGGCAAAACTATGGAGACAATAAAAAAAATCTACGATTGCCCAGGGCGGAGGCCAGGGGTGTTGGGGGGAGATAGGCAGAGCACAAGAACACAGAGCGGGGGGGTCCCCTGGTGGTGCAGGGGTTAACAACCCGCCCGTCAATGCAGGGGACACAGGTTCGAGCCCTGGTCCGGGAAGATCCCACATGCCGCAGAGCAACTAAGCCCGTGCGCCACAACTACTGAGCCTGCGCTCTAGAGCCTGCGCGCCACAACTACTGAGCCCACGGGCCACAACTACTGAAGCCCGCGTGCCTAGAGCCCGTGCTCCACAACGAGAGAAGCCACTGCAACGAGAAGCCCGCACGCAGCAACGAAGAGTAGCCCCCGCTTGCCGCAACTAGACAAAGCTCGTGCGCAGCAACAAAGACACAACACAGCCAAAAATAAACAAGTAAAATAAATTTATTTTAAAAAAAAAAAAAGAGCACAGAGGGATTTTAGGGTAGCGAAACTACTCTATACATTTGTCCAAACCCACAGAACGTATACCACCAAGATGAACGCTGATGTAAACCGTGGACTCAGGGTGACAATCACGCGTCTCTGTGGGTTCATCAATTATAATAAATGTAGTGGGGGGGCTGTGCATGTGTTGGGGGGCAGGGAGAACACGGGAACTCTCTGTACCTTCCTCTCAGTTTTGCTGTGCACCTAACACTGATCTAAAAAAACTAAGTCTTTAAACTCCAGCTGAGCTGGTGGTGCTCCCCATTAGGTCGGAATGCTCCCCCGCTCCCAGAACCCTGTTCCACCTCACCCACCAGGTGAGGAACGAAGGCCGGGCAACAGGAAGCTGACAAACCACCAATCAGAAGCGCTGCCAACTGACGGATGTCGAAGGTGGACCCCTACCCTCCCACACCCCCAAAACCCTCCTGAGGCCAAGCAGATGCTGGTAATAAGACTTCCGGGTTCAGTGTCGCCCTTCACTGAGCCATGGGGAGATCAGCAACAAAACTATAGGTGAGGAGGGCTTCCCTGGTGGCGCAGTGGTTGAGAGTCCGCCTGCCGACGCAGGGGACATGGGTTCGTGCCCCAGTCCGGGAAGATCCCACAGGCCGCGGAGCGGCTGGGCCCATGAGCCATGGCCGCTGGGCCTGCGCATCCGGAGCCTGTGCTCCGCAACGGGAGAGGCCACAACAGTGAGAGGCCCGTGTACCGCAAAAAAAAAAAAAAAAAAAAAACTATAGGTGAGGAGGATGCTTCTCCTCGCCAGGGGTCCCAGCCCTCTGACGCCACACATGGCGTCCCTGCCACGACCCCTGGGACTCTATTCCTCGCCCATGAACCGCACGGTCACTTCACAGAAACTCGAACGCATGCATGTCACCATTCCCTCTGAGTACAACCCAAAGCCATCGCCCCAGCTGACACGGAGGTTGAACCTGGTCCCTCCACTTGTGCCAAAGGCAAATTTGGGCCAAGAACCAGGCTTCGAGACTCCCATCCTGGTAACCTGTCCACCACATCATGCTTACCCAGGGTAATAAAACTAACCAGATAAAAACTCCCAATAAAAACTAACCAGATGGGACCACATTGCCAAAGGGGTCTCTAGTACATGCCTTTAAAGAGTGGAAGGTCCCTCTGGTTCTTTGAAGCAGCTCAACTTACTAAAATGGGATATATATTCAAGTCTGCTAGGAAATCGACAGAGTAGCCAGTGAGGCGGCCTCCGCTCAGGCCACTGGGCAGAGCCAGCGCTGCTCCAGCCGAGCACGCACCCCTGCTCCACGTTCCTGGCGACATTCGGTGAGCAGAAAACAACAGAGTACACCCCAGCCCTCGGGGCCTCCCGTCACCAGAATGCACTGCTATCCACTAGCACCCGTGGACTGGCGTGGCCGTTGCCCACGAGAAGGCTGTTTCTCCCCACCTCGCCTGCCAGCGTCCACAGGCCTGGACCGAGCGGAGCTTTCCTGCATCGCCTCGCACGTGGCCACCAGCAGGTTCAACACAGTCAGGGCCCAGAGCCTCGGGGTGCCTGACTCCCAGAGGCATGCAGCGCTGACAGCGCTCTCGGAGGGCAAGGGTCTGGAAGCGGGAACACGGTGTCCCCGTTCCCCCTCATCGCCCAAGGGCTTCTGGGAGCAGGAGCCCGGGGAAGGGAACTGTAGTATAGGCCACTCAGCCATGGGGAAGAATTTTCCGGGGCCCAAACGCAGACACACCGCTTGCACCCAGCATGGCCTCTGCACAGGGCAGGCAATCAGTAGATGGTCCACCACTCCACAGTCCAAATCCAGCGCCACCTGCGCTGCCAGCTCCTTGTCCTAGGTTGCTTTGGGGGAAATGACCATCAAGAGATGACTCAGAAAGGGGGGCTGACGTAAGAGCCCCCACTATCGAGCACAGCCACTAGGCAGGGAAGGGCCTGGCCTCTCATTTCAGCGCTGAGTGATCTGACCTTTGGCTCCTGCTGTTAGGGTGAGGTGTCTTCTGCGCGGAAGCCCCTCTCCACGTGCCCCGTCGTGCTCTCCCTCTCCCCCTCTACTGCACACACCCTGGGATTCCTGGCCTTCCCCACTAAGCCAGCTGCCAGGTGGCAGGGCTCCACCCGCAACAGGGCGTGCGGCAGGAGGGAGCGGCTGGAGCACGCCAGTCCGGGAAAAGGCGAGACACACTGGAAAAGCCGGTTGGGTGTTTCTGTTTCAACGGTAACTGGGGAGTCACTGCACGTTTATCAGCGCAGCTTCACGGAAATAACCCATAGCACACTCAGAACTGATGGGCCAGGCTACGCTGGGGGCCCCAAAGTGACAAGGGACCCCCCGCACCGACCCAGCCACAGGGCAGACGAGGAGCGAGCGCTCTCAACGTGCCTCTGCACGGCTCGCCAGGCACACAGGTCCCCTCAGAGCTCAAAGCTCCTCCCACTATCCAGCTCTCTGTCTCCACTACCCCACCCCAGGCACCACTGTTATTCTCAGAAGTAACAGAGCCAATCCTAAAATACCTTCCACACCCCCATGGGCTGGCCTGCCTGCCCGGAGACACCTAATCACCGGCCGGGCTTAGCCCATGACACATCCAGGATCAGTACAATGGCAGAGCTCACTTCCCACACCAGACAGTGCCACCTGCCTGAGCAGGCACGCAGGCCTCACAGTAGCAAGTGGAAACCACCCAATCCCAGAGGGCTGGACCCAGGAGGCCTAGGGTGGCCTGGGGGGATTTCCTAGTATACCTCCAGATGGAAACCAATGGTTTAAGGAAACAAGAGTCCAACCTGAGGGTTCAAAGTGACCTCAAGTCTAAACAACATAGATGAGTGGCTGTGACAACACCATCCCCCTCCCGCCTCGCTCAGGCTCTCCGGAAGCCCCCAGGACTAGCGCAGGAGCAAAATGGGTCTCTGAAACACCAGCAAGAATTCAGGAAAGCCAGGCACTTCAGTCGGGGCTTGGGGTCCCCATGCTGTCCACTATTCCTTTACACACAGGACTAACCGAGCTGGCCATGGGGTCTCCCGGAGGACAGAAAGGAGCAGTCACACTCGAGAGGCAGATGCCCTCGGCATGGAGAAGGCACAGGGTTCTAAACCCGTTTGTTCACATCGTGGCTATCCCCTGGGATTGTGCCACATGTGGGCTGCCCCACAGATGCACATAACTGTGCAAGAGAGACCATTACAATATGCAATTCACACTCTGACCCACCCTGAGGCAGTCCGGTACATGTAAACATTCTAAGTAGATAGCCTCAGTTTTCTCAGCTATAAAAAAAAAAAAAACACGAAGGTTTGGCACATAGGGGAAAAAACAGGACTGCTGAGGAAGGGACTGAAAAAGTGGGCTGTTTGACGCCAAACAAATGATCCCTAAGGAACCCTCTCTGTCCCCAAGAAGGGCAGGGCCAATGCGGGAGAACTCGGATGATCACAGAAAGACTAAAGCACGTGCCTTTTCATCTATTTGAGGGGAGAGGTTATGTGTATATTTTTTAAAACAGCCCCCCAAATGATCTGAGTTTATAAGTTTTGGGAGAGATCTTGCATAACTGAAATGCACATAAATGCGATGACTGTGATGTGCCCGCAGGGCTGTCATGGAGACAGACGGGGGAAGGGGCAGGGCTCTACCAGGCAGGCACCGGCACCACGGGCGCTAACAAGTGGGCCAACTGGTCCACCCCCCGGCTGTCCGGCATGGGGGCCGTCCTCTGGCCAGCCGGCTGCCACGTACCTTTGGCATGAAACGTCCAGCCCCTCCGCCAGTACTCCTGCAGCTGGACCCGCTCCTGCTGCCCCAGGCTGCACACCTCACTGTAGAACTGCCGCTCAATATGCACGTAGGCGGCCGGGATGGCACCTGCCACCCCCTTGGCCCCGAAGAAGCCGTTCACCTCCGGCGAGGCCAGCAGGATCTGGTACTCGGCTCGCGTGCCCAAGACCAGGTCCATGTAGGCCTGGGTCAGGTTGAAGTAGCCAGTGGTAAGGTAGACCTTAGCGCCTCGCTCGGCCTCCGTCAGCAGGGTCTCAGTGACAATCTCATCGATCTGAATCTCAAAGGGCTTCATCTGGATCAATGGGTAAATCCAGGTGTCTGGGGCTGGCCTCTGGTCTCCAGCGGCGGCTGCATCTCCCTGGGTTAAGAGGGAGTTGCTGTGGAAGGTCTGGGCATGCAGCATCTGCTGGCGGGTCCTGGCTGAGTTGATCACATCCATAACCCTCTTATTGGCTGCCTTGCAATACGCAGCCCGGTCACCTAGAGGGAGACATGGCAAAGGGGAGTCAGGAGCAGAGAAGGGAGGCTCTGGACTCCCATTCAGCACAGGAGACACACCACATGGCATGTGACAGGCAAGCACAGATGCCACAACTGATCCTTCACCAAACACGTCTCGATTGAGCACAAGACACTGGGCCCATGTGAGGCTCCTCTGTGGACAGAAATGCCCGGAAAAGGATCTTGCCACAAGAAGCCTGCACTCAGGAGGAAATGAAAAGGCCTCTACCAATCCACTTACGAAAAGTTCAAAAACAGGCAAGACTAGTTGAGGGCGGCAGTGGTCAGGATAGTGGGCACACAGGGGTCGCGCCTGGCTAGGGACCCGAGGGGGCTTCTGGGAGCCAACCCACTATGAACACGTACATAAGCTGCACACACGTGACTAGTGTGCATGTTACACGTCAGAAAGAACATGTGTCCGACAGAGACACGTTTAAGTATGACCAGAGAGCAGGAGAGCGAGCCACAAAGGGTCAGAGGTGAACAGGCAGGCTCTGGGCCTTGTTTTCACACGGACACCAGTGACGAGTGGCTGCATGGACACAATGAAGGGAAAAGAAGTGAGTCTAAATTCTATCACTAGATGATAAGAGAGTTAATGAGCTAAAGCATCCAACTCAAGAAGTTAGGAGGAAAAACAACAGGAAAAGCCCAAAAATACAGCACAAGGAAGCACATTATATGAAGCAAAAATTAACAGAAAGAAAACAACAACATAAAAATAGGTAACTTCAACATTGTCAAAAGTTGATTCTCTGAAAAAACTGACAGAATAGCAAGCCTTGGGCAGGGCTGATCAACAAGAGAGAGACGGGCAGCACGACTGTCCTGGTCACCGCTCTCGCGCTCTGGGCTGGGAACAGGCGCACACGCCCGAGTGCCTTCCAGGGCTGGGCAACAGCCCAGAGAAGGAATGTTGCTTGCGGGGATCCCTCCTTACTGACGGCGGCCACCACGGGGGCCGCTCACTCACTGCTTCTCTTGAGCTGCCCTGGTCCCGAACACGGCTGTGCCCAGCCCCCCACGCCCTCTGAGCGTGCTGACTCTCAATTCTGCCCCGAATGGGGGCCCTTTTTTCTGCATATTCACGCCAGGCCTGTTAAGTTAGATCAGGGGTCAGCCAGTGTTTCCTGTACGGGCCAGACAGTAAATATTTCAGGCTCTGTGAGCCAGAGGGCAAAATTGAGAACACTGTGTAGGTGCTCATATAATGAAAGAGAACACAGACTTCCATGAATTTGTATTGTGGAAATTTAAATCATAATAGTAATTATCATACTACTCTACAGCACACAGGCGTAGTGGCAGCAGGCAAGGCAGGCACTCAGATCACGGGCTGGCTCCACAGTGCACAGATTCCCCAGGCCCCCGGGACAGGGTTCCCACCAGACATCCCCACTCAGATGCTTCCTTTCTGGCTCCTCTCCTCACATGGGCTAGGTTTAACCCGTTCCCCACATTGCTGACATGGTTGCAAATTCAGCAGCAGGCCTCCTTAAAGGCCACCAGGAAGCCATGGCCACAAGAATCACAGGAATGCAAATAGCCCGGGAATGCTAGATGCCAGGGTTTGCCTGTTTCCAGTGAGCAGGACCGAGGACTCTCCCATTTCACGTTCCAGGCAGGAGGCCGCAGACCTCAATGGAGCCGAGAGCCACAGACCCTCTGTGCTCCAGAGTCACGGGAGGTGGCCCTGAGGGGGGTGGCCATCCAGCAGGCCGCTTCCTGTAAGTGCAGGGCAGGCTCCCGGCTCACTCCCGCGGGCACCCAGACCCGAGGCCCACAATCCCACCTTCCCCGGCGGCTCCCTCACCCGCAGAGCATGACCGATAGCCAGTGAGTCACGTCTGTCTGGCTCCAAAGACAAAAGCAGAACAAGGCTCTGCCACCCAAGTCTCCTAAACCCGTGGCAAGGCCCCCAGAGGCGCGCCCTCCTCACCCTCACCACCCCCAGGCTCAGGAGGGCGAGGAGCCCGGGACCCTACCTTTGTAAGGATGCACCATCCCCTCCACCACCTGCACTGTGTCGTCCCCCTGCAACTGCAGGGACACGTCCCCCACCGCGTCCACCAGCTCCGTGAAGAAGTCCGCAATCTCAGGACAGTCCTGCAAGAACACGTAGCGGTCCTGCCGGTTGGTGAAGTAGGAGTCACTCAGGTTTGCGCTACAGGGAGGAAAGCAGCAGGTGAGGACTCAGGCGATAGGGTGCGACAGCAAGTGCTGGTGACCCCGGTCTCAGGGTCACCAGCAGGAGCAGGGGAGCAACCAACTTGGATCAGGTGCACCAGCAGCCAATTAACAAACAGCTACTGACGGGCTTCCCTGGGGGCGCAGTGGTTAGGAATCCGGCCACCAATGCAGGGGACACAGGTTCCAGCCCTGGCCCGGGAGGATCCCATATGCCGCAGAGCAGCTAAGCCCGCGCACCACAACTACTGAGCCTGCGCTCTAGAGCCCACGAGCCACAACTACTGAGCCCGCGTGCCACAACTACTGAAGCCCGTGCACCTAGAGCCCGTGCTCCACAATGAGAGAAGCCACTGTAATGAGAAGCCCGCGCACCGCGACAAAGAGTAGCCCCTGCTCGCCGCAACTAGAGAAAGCCCGCGCACAGCAACGAAGACCCTACACAGCCAAAAATAAATAAATAAATAGATAAAATAAAATAAAATAAAACAAACAGCTACTGAGCCTGGCCGCTCACGAGAGGTGGGCGAGAGTGACACTAAGGTGACACAGAGGAGTGACCGCAAGGCCGTCCCCTCACCGAGCTGACCACCGAGAGGAGATGCAGACACTTACAGAGCCAAGGACCACTCGGGCTTGGCCCCAGTGTCCCCCAAAGGGCCTGGATTCCCACCCAGCCCTGCCTGACAAAGTTATTTGTCCTCTCGGGCTTCTTGTGTACAAAGTGAGGGAAAGACCACGTGGGGTGACAGTGAGCATTAGCTGAGACAGTACACGAGGGGCTCACCCAGGAGCAAACACAGAGTAAGGGCTCAGTAAACCACGGCCAGCTTTCAGTCGCCCTTCGTGGCTTCCAGCCTCCGTGGCAGACAGGACACCGGGAAGACGCCGGGAGGGCCAGGCAACCAGACTAAACACGTAGCAGCAGGCCCTCGAAGGCTCGCGGGGACGGACCTTCCCTTCTCTGCGTGCTGCTGGTCTCTGCCCTGGAGACCCCGACAGAAGGAAGCCAACTCACCCGCTCAGGACGACGCTGTTGTCGAAGAGGTACACCTTGATGTGCTGCAGGCCGATGGTCTCGTTGAAGCGCTCGGGGATGAGGAGCCGGAGGAGCCCACGGAGGTTAGGCGTGTGGAAGAGAGACACTCGGACCTGTTCTGGAAACCTCTGCAGGAGTGGGAGCAGCATCGTGCGAGAGTTTTTCCTTCCTGAAGACGTGGGCAAGCAGGAGAGCAAGGACGGCAGTCACACCAGGAAAAACATGCAGCCCGCCAGTGCAGCGCCACCTACCAAGGGCCTGCGCAGCCGTCCAAGTCAGACCGCCGGGGGCTGTTTTCAGCCAGAGGGGCTCCGGGACAGCTTCTACCTGGACACCCACCACATCTCGGGGCAGGACTGAGCGGCCCGTGTAGCGGACATCCGCTCTTCCAGCCCCACGGCACCCTCTACCCGCCTCATGGTAACTGCACCCAATCTCCTCCTGGGGGCACCACCCAGCCCCGCTCTCATATTTCTGCTCTGGGTGAAGATGACTCTGTCCACCCCAGCTCTGGGAAGGCACGCAGGCCCAGGCTGGGCCGGTCAGCACGCTCAGGAGGCCCGGCACAGAGCCCGAGACAGGCCATGCAGGAGCTCCAGGCTGACCACGAGGGAAGCAGATGCTCTTCCAGTGGACAAGGTGTGGCAAGATGGGCCTGGGACTGCCAGAGGCTGCCGCAAGGAGCCAGAGAATGAAGCCAGCCTAAAGGTCCAAGCCCCAAATCACGACCCACCCGAATCAGGTCAGATGTGGAAGTCAAAACAATTCTCTTTTTCCCAAAGTCATTTTTACTTGGACTGTCGGTCACTTGCCACAGACAGAACCCTGACGGACAGGCCGTCCTGGGCCATCCCAGAAGGGCTTCAAATAGCCTTGCTGCTGGCTAAGGACAGGGCGGTGAGGGTGTAATTCCTCGTTCTTCCTGAACAGGGAAGAATCAGGGGGCCAGGGAGGGCGTCAGACCTACCTCTTGAGCCCCGCGTGAAGTCTAAGAGAATGGACACCCTGAGGTCGGAAGGAAACTTCGTCTGGAGTGACTTTTCTAGAGTGCTTTCCAGGCAATCCACCTGCCAAGAAAAGACCCCAAAAGAACAGAAATGAAAGATCTGAAAAGATGGTTATGTATTAAAGAAATGAACCAACCTGTCAGCTAATGCCCCCACGGTCCTCTTTGAACACACACACAAGCATGTACACACACACACCAGCCACGCTTGCCCAGAAGCCAACGCTGCAGAATCTCTTCACCTGAGGCCACCGCGGTAACCGTAATCCGAAGACATGGCGTCTGCGGCCCGGGCCTGGCAGGATGAAGGCTCTGGGAGTCAGGGACGCGGTGCCCAAGGGTCTGGACCTCGCCGCTCTTGAAAACACTAAGACACCAGCTCCCACACACGTTCCAATGGATCATCCTTACAGGCACACAACAAACAGCGCCCCACACACAGACATCACTCGGTAAATATTTGCTGAACAAATAAATCCAAGACACAACCTGCCCACTGCCACTCTCCACAGGCTGGACGTGGCATTCTTCTCCCAGGAGAACAAACACGCTTCCCAAGGTGGCAGCTAAGAGCACGTCCTGAAAGCGGGGCAGCCTTTCCTCACACAGGAAGGGAAGGGGTGGGCTCTCTCCTGCCCCCTACCACAGCCCCTGTTCTCTTCCAGCTATGCCCTGGGGGTTGCTGAACAAGGCAAACCAAGAAACACTTGCTGTGGGCAAGGGTCCATCTCACTCCCTCAGAGTAGAAAGCCATCCAGGGACTCCGACGACACAACGACCTCATTCACACCCACTTCAGCTCAACCTACAGATTCTGCGCTGGGCTCGTCCTACAGGAAGCACCCGCTGCACAACAGCTGACGTCTGCTCCTTCCCAGCCCCGCGTGTCTCGTTGGAAGGGACAAGCACGGCATGACAGCAAGTCTAGGTGGAGCCAGGCTGGCCGCAGACCCGCACCCGACACCAGCCCTGGGCGAAAGCAACGGCCAGCTCGACCTGCCATGCTGGCTCCTCTGTCTAACACAGACTCAGAAAGCCTTCTCTATAAAGGACCAGACAGTAAATATCTTGGGCTTTGCAGGTCAGATGATCCCTGTCACAGTTACTCAGTTCAGCCACTGTAGCAAGAAAGCAGCCATAGACAGAACAAAAATTAATGAGCGTCACTATGCTCCAATAAAGCTTCATTTATGGACACAGAGATCTGAATTTCACATGCTTTTCATGTGACACAATTACTACTCCTCTTTTGATCTTTTGCCAAACATTGAAAATGTAAAGCAAAGGACACGGGTTTGAGCCCTGGTCCAGGAAGATCCCACATGGCAGAAGATCTAGGTACACGGGCTTCAGTAGTCATGGCTCACGGGCTCTAGAGCACAGGCTCAGTAGTTGTGGCGCATGGGCAGAGCAACTAAGCCCATGCGCCACAACTACTGAGCCTGCACTCTAGAGCCCGCACGCCACGACTACTGAAGCCCGCGTGCCTAGAGCCAGTGCTCCGCAACGAGAAGCCACTGCAATGAGAAGCCTGCGCACCGCAACGAAGAGTAGTCCCTGCTCGCCACAACTAGAGAAAGCCTGAGCACAGCAACAAAGACCCAACGCAGCCAAAAATAAAATAAACAAATAAATTTATTTTTAAAAAAAGAGAGAAGCCACCGCAATGAGAAGCCCACGCACCGCAAGGAAGAGTAGCCCCCACTCACTGCAACTAGAGAAAGCCCGCACACAGCAACAAAAACTCAACGCAGCCAAAAATAAATAAATAAATAAATAAATTTAAAAAAAAGAAAATGTGAACACCATCCTTAGCCCATATTCCACACATAAATAGGCAGTGGCCAGGTTTGGCCTGCGGGTCACAATTCTCGGAGCCCCGGCTTGGCAGACAGATGGCCTACGGCCCCTGCGCAGGGTGAGGAGGACACGGGCCAGCGAGGTCAGGAGGCCCAGGATCACATCTCCCTGCACCCCTACCTGATCCTCCTGACGTGCCCCAGAATCTGGGGCAACAAGAATAAAAGCTGGCCTGAGACACAGGCCAAGGAGGGCGGCTCTACCCCAACTCCACGGCTCTACACAGCCCGAGGTTTTAGGGTGACTCACTACTGCCAGTAGGACCACCCCTGCTTAAACCTTACCAGTTCCTGTTCCAAAGGACCTGTCCCCAGGTAGAGGGACGCCATCACGACCCGCCTCTTGGCTACTTTTATCTGCCCCTGAAGAGAAGAAACAATTCAAAATTCATAATCACCATTTTCACAGTTCAGTGAGAAAGATACAGTCCTTTGATATTGGAGGCAAATAACACTGCAAGCTGCACTATCCTGTATCTTCACCAATTAATATTTAAAGCAAGCCCCAAATGTGTGTGGTAACCTACCAGGTAAGGACCCACAACCCTAATTTAAAATACTCAGCCTGAAAGTAAGGCATGATCTAGCCATGCTATAAGATACAGCACAGCCACGAAAAGAATGAAGGTCTTTGCACACTGACCTGAGGGGATGGCCACAGTGCACTGCAGGAACAGAAGCAAATCACTGAACAGAACGTAAACCATGCTCCCCCGTCACCACCCCATGCACACCTGTATGGGTGTGTGTGTGTGTGTGTGTGTGTGTGTGTGTGTGTGTGTGTGTGTG